CCATGCATGGTGGTGTAGGTGAATACATTATGTGAACTAAATGAAGCTGATCTGTACCTCCTACAGAAATTTCAGTTATAGTCATGTGCAGCACATGAAATATACGCATAAGCTCAATCATGACAAAAGAATGACCAGAAAAACCACATGAAATGTGATGATATATTCCAACGTTTTATTAACATTTGAAATGCCACTGAACATGTAAACAGAATTTTTTGTAATTTTAAGGCTTTGTTCAGTCATTTAATGGAATTCAGAAATATTTGTAAAAAATATTTTGTATTTTACAACACAATGGTTTTGTATTGCACTCAACGACAATAATTATGTAATGAGTGTGTAAATTGAACAATAAACAAATCTGACAAGTTTTAGTAAAAAAAAAATTTACAAATAAATCAAAGTTACATTAATGGTATAGTACGTAGTATAAAAAATAAAAATAAATTATTTTATAAACTGAATGATACAATATTAAAATAGGTAACACTTTATTTTAAGGCGTTCTTGTTACAAATGTTACATGCACTTACTATTATAATAGCAATTAATTATGCATAATTACATGCAAGTAACCCTAAGCCTAAGCCTAATCTTAGCCATACAGTAAGTACACATAGTTAATTAATATTACTCAGTACTTAAATGTATAATTACACTGCAACAAGGACACCTTAAAATAAAGTGTAACCTTAAAATATTTTTAAATTAAATACACTTAATTACAAAGTGTGATTATTTATACATTTTAATACAGCCCTACCAGCATGGTAGGTCACATGTCTCAGAGACGTGATTTTGAGTGTTGTATCTTATGTTTGGTCATTAAACACCATGGCAACTCCAACTGCTGAGTCAACATCTTTTCCGTAAACTACAGGAAATGGAAACACTCTCTCTACTTCCTGTTGCAGAACTTGAGTAATTGTTGCATCCATAATTGTAATCGCAATTAGAAATTTTATTAATTGTGCAGCCCTACCCTACAATATAAAAAGGCACACTTTATTTTTAAATAATAATAAATGTAGAAATGTAACAATTGTTGATTTACCAAATTCTTTCATCCACGAGTCCAGCATTCTGACAAAGGTGGCCATGACATTGCCTCCATTAAGTGATGCAGCCACTGCCAGGTAGGAGCCGTGGAAGTATGGGAAATAAGCAACAGGAGAGAGGGGGTCTGGAGAATTTGGAGGGCTGAACTCTGCAGGCATGCCAAACGTCAGCTGGGCTGAAGTGCTCATATTCAGCACTAGTGATTTAATATATGTCACAATTAATTTGTGCATGATATGCCTTATGTACACTTCCATTCAAAAGTTTAGAGTCGGTGACATGTTTTAAATAAATACCAAGGCTTTATTTATTTGATCAAATGTACAGTTAAAAAAAGTAATATTGTGATTTTTTTTTGCGATTTAAAAGAACCGTTTTCTATTATAATCTAATTTGTTGAGATAGTGAATTGGTGGGTTTTTGTGAAATGTGAGCCAAAATCATCACAATTAAAAGAACCAAAGACTTAAACTACTTCTGTCACGGTTCATGGGTCCGGACAGTCTTTCTGCGTCTTGTCATGTGGTTGTATGTGCGTACATCATTCGTTAGTGTTTGCAGCTGGTGCTCAATCAGAGCGCACCAGCTGCAACTCGTTAGCGAGTCCTTTATAGGTCACTCTGTTCAATGTGTGTTTGTCGGTTCGTTATTCTCATGTTCCTGTCTCCCTGTCAGTTCTCTGTTTCCAGTTCTCGCTCAGTCAGGGTACGGATCTTCCGCCTTCTCCTTGGTTTGGTCAACGCAGTGGTTGAGGGGATTTCTCAGTGGAGCTCTGATTCTGACCAGGACCCGAGGATTATCACCTTGTGTCTCCGTTATTGTGATTACTAAATAAACCTTACCTTTGCACTCGCACTTGGATCCTGACTCTTTTCTGCCGTGACAACTTCAGTCTGTGTGCATTGAATTTATTTAATACACGAGTTTCACAATTTGAGTTGAATTACTGAAATAAATTAACTTTTCCACGACATTCTAATTTATTGAGATGCACCTGTATTTACATGTATACATTTATATTAATATATTTAATATATAAACGTAGCATATTTTTCTTAAATATATACATGCATGTGTGTGTATTTAAATATACATAATAAATATACACAGTACACACACATATATTATGTAAACAAAAACTTTTATTTTGGATGCGATTAATCGTGATTAATCGTTTGACAGCACTAATTATAATATATTTTAAAATGTCATTTAATCCTGTGAAGACACAGCTGAATTTTCAGCATTAGAAATCAGTTTCAAGTCAGTCTAATATGCTGATTTGGTGCTCAAGAAACATTTCTTATTATTTTCAAAGCTGAAAACAGTTGTGCTGCAAATACTTTTCTGGAAACATACTTTTTTTTAAAGATTCTTTAATGAATAGAAAGTTCAAAAGAACAGCATTTATTTGAAATAGAAATCTTTTGTAACATAAATGTTTTACTGTCACTTTTGACCAATTTAATGTGTCCTTGCCAAATAGAAATATTAATTTCTTTCAAAAACAAAAAAAATCTCACTGACTCCAAACTTTTGAATGGTAGTGTATAAGTAAAAATGCTACAGTCCACAGCACTGATGTGGGCACAGCATGAAGTACATATTTAAACATATCTTTTTGTACAATGCATCAGGAAATATAGCTAAATGTATTTGTGTACAGGAAACAGATTTTTTTTTTCTGTGAAGTAGAAATGTGTTGAAATATTAAATCTAAACCATCTATAAATAGCGGATAAAACCTTTAGCAAAATGTGTAAATGTGTCCTCTTTTTACACAACCCATTGTGTTCTTTAATGAATAGAAAGTTCAAAAGAACAGCATTTATTTGAAATAGAAATCTTTTGTAACATAAATGTTTTACTGTCACTTTTGACCAATTTAATGTGTCCTTGCCAAATAGAAATATTAATTTCTTTCAAAAACAAAAAAAAATCTCACTGACTCCAAACTTTTGAATGGTAGTGTATAAGTAAAAATGCTACAGTCCACAGCACTGATGTGGGCACAGCATGAAGTACATATTTAAACATATCTTTTTGTACAATGCATCAGGAAATATTGCTAAATGTATTTGTGTACAGGAAACAGATTTTTTTTTTTCTGTGAAGTAGAAATGTGTTGAAATATTAAATCTAAACCATCTATAAATAGCGGATAAAACCTTTAGCAAAATGTGTAAATGTGTCCTCTTTTTACACAACCCATTGTACTTTGGTGAAGAATTCGGGTCTGAACTACAAACATGAATAAAAAGCGTAAAAAAACAGGCAGATGTGCACAACCGATGGTTAAGTAGAAATTATTATATAAAGGGGTTTGAGTTACTAATAATCAACATTTAGCCTGGTTATCTGTGTTAAATTTCATCTGCAACAACAATGTTGTGAACTTTTATAAACATCCGTTTGGCCATTCACTTTTAAATGCATTATTATGCAAAAAATATGAACAGAGTTCTCTGCATAAAGACTAGGGTTGGGTATTGTTTGGGTTTTTTTCGATAACGGTGCCAAATCGATACTTTTAAAACAGTTCCGGTGCCTGAACCAATACTTATTAAAAAATAAATAAAAAATGAAAATATTAAATCTAAACCATCTATAAATAGCGGATAAAACCTTTAGCAAAATGTGTAAATGTGTCCTCTTTTTACACAACCCATTGTACTTTGGTGAAGAATTCGGGTCTGAACTACAAACATGAATAAAAAGCGTAAAAAAACAGGCAGATGTGCACAACCGATGGTTAAGTAGAAATTATTATATAAAGGGGTTTGAGTTACTAATAATCAACATTTAGCCTGGTTATCTGTGTTAAATTTCATCTGCAACAACAATGTTGTGAACTTTTATAAACATCCGTTTGGCCATTCACTTTTAAATGCATTATTATGCAAAAAATATGAACAGAGTTCTCTGCATAAAGACTAGGGTTGGGTATTGTTTGGGTTTTTTTCGCTAACGGTGCCAAATCGATACTTTTAAAACAGTTCCGGTGCCTGAACCAATACTTATTAAAAAATAAATAAAAAATGAAAATTCCCCAAAAAATGATGAATTGGCCATTAGCACTATAAACACATGATGTCTGGTTCATTCATACTGGATGCCAGAGAGCACCCTCACACAGAAAATCCACATATCCAGTCACAGCGGAACTCATGACCCTCCAGGAAATCCCTTATATGGACAAAGACATCGCTATTATAGCTGTAACTGAGTAAACGGAACATATAAACGTTTTGAATGATAAAACAAAGACAATAAACGCTCGATTGCGACAATATAGTTTATCTGTGTTATTCAAGCCATCTCTAGTATTTTCATAATAATTAAGTATATTTATAATCCATTGATAATCGATGTATTCTTTTTAAAGTAGCCCATGGAACATATTTTCTGCCTCATTCTGTGACAAGAAGCCTGATCAGATCACAAAAGGAAGCATTTGACTGGTGTTGTGGAGTAAAAAGGTTATAATGTTCTCTTTTGTTGGACAACAGGTTTAAAAATGTGAATACAAGGGAACTTTAGCTTTAGGCATTTTAATTTAAGCATGTTTAGCTTAGTTAATGGAAGGCTACCTGCTGCCATCAGAGCAAGTGTACTTACTGCATTAACGCGCTCCTCGGATGCTCTCATTTCCCGAGTTGTGCTTTTAAGTCGGAATGTGAAAACAACATGGACATTCTCGTTACTTTCGGAGAACCAGATGACAAATATTTAAATTGATCGCTCAGGCATGGCACCGAAATGAGGCACCGAAATCTGCGTTCTGATTCGGTTCTAGTACATAGCGGTTACATAGGTATCAGTGCCATATTGGTACCGGGTTTCGGTACTCAACCCTAATAAAGACCCACGGCTGCCAGATCAACGTGCTACTTCTCTCTCTGATACAGTAGGATGTTAAATGAAATGAAATGTGGAGGATGTTAATTGTGACAAGATGATTGACAGGCCGGTTTACAAGTGACAGGGAGCGTGTAACTGCAACAGAGCAGTCCATTAAAGACGCAATTGTATGATGTGATAGTATGTCTCAAAACTTGCCTACTCTTCTACTACATACTCAAAAGTGTGTACTTTTTCTTCATCAACGGAGTACATACTTTAAGGGCATAGTATAAATACGAAAATTGGGACGCAGCATAAATGTGCTCATCGCAATCACATAACATCTCCACCGGGAGGTTAAACTAGTAAACACAAACTGACCTCAGGATGAGTATATACTGATTGTTGTTTGTAGCTGAGCTGATATAACTACAACAGTCTGACTGTGGGTCATTTACAGACCAAGTCACTGATATTTAGAAAACATAATATGCAGTTTGCAAAGCTAAAAAAGAGGCATCTAATCCACACTATACCTGCATCTCCTTTGTCAGTCATGCTGGAGTAGACACTACACTGGAAGTCTCCCAGCGCCGCCCCGACAGCTGTGTGAGCAGGGATGCCGTGCCACTCAGAAGAAGTGTGACCAGCCACAGCTCCGGACTCCACCACGACAGGCAAGAGCTGCACAGGGAAACCTGCATCCTTCAGACTGGAGGACATATGATCACACAGTTCATGCTAACACAGTAATTCAGTTCAACACAGAGAAACTGTAATAATATTAAACATCATAGATTATTTAGAATTCCCGTGTCAAGACTAAAGGCCCGTTCACACCAAAGATGATAACTATTGATAACTACAGGGGTTGGACAAAATAATGTGAACAACTAGGAAATTGGCAATATTTTATTATTAAGGTGTTTCACCACCGTTTGCCTTTAATACAGACTCCAACCTTATTAGAATAGATTAATACGTCTGAATAGTCTCCAGCTGAATGTCGTCTATCAGAACATCTGCCAGCTGATTTAGAGATGTTAAAGGAGAGAATCTGCTTTTCACGTATCTCTCCAAATCTGCCCACAGTGGTTTGATAATCTTCACGTCAGGTGATTGAGGTGCCTGGGTAGATGTTGAAGTTCATTTTGGTGCTCCAGTTGTCTAGGTTTCATGATTATGACACAAACGTGTTTGTATTTTAGCATTAGTGTCTGTGAATAAAGTTTTAGCAATTGCAGCTCTTTCATGGATGTTGGCTTTGTAAAGTTCTCTATGATCAGTTTTTTTGTGGAAACAGGGTGCTTAAGGTGAATATTGAGGTTTGCTGTCACTTTGCTGCAATAATCCTTCTTAGTGTTTGATGGACCCAATCATTCACTTTTGTTTTTTGCCCACTATTCTTCTTCACTGATAAAGTCTTGCCATGCTTTGTGTACTCAGTCATAAAGACTGCTGTTCTTAAAACACCCAACAACTGGGCCATTAAGTTCTTCAGACACTCCTGCTAAACAGGATCCCATGAAGTCCGACATGTCACCCATTTCATGCACAGCAAATACTAGACACTGCTGAACAACTAGTACTACACTGATTTACAAACTAGAACATATAGACAACAAAAAAATAATCACAATGTTTGCTTTTTCACTGTAGCCTACACAAATTATATTAACCCCTAAAATAGAGGGTGTTCACATTATTTTGTCCAACCCCTGTATAACTATAGTTTTAATAATAGTTCTACTTCTATGAGAATTACAACTACAACGCTAATGACACAGATGAACAGTAGAATCACTCTGAGAATGCAAATGAATAACAAAACATTGACAGTTGATCAGAATCTAAAGAGCTCGAACATTTAAAGCAGCAGAAAACACAACTCTGCATGCCTTATAATAAACTGAACATTATCATCTGTTGGATGCTAATATAGTTATTTTTCTAGTTATTGTTCTTAGTATAAAGTGGCCTTAAAACAAATATAATATCTCCCTTGACTCACATTTGTGTGTTCCATTTGTTGCTGGCTGTGTTGAAGTAGCCCCAGCTGGCAGCATTTTGTCCAGTCATGACACATTTGTCAAGGCTACACAGCATGGAAACCACATAGTCTTGGATGGTGCCTGCATCACTGAAACCTGACAGGAACTCCGGCCTGATTCAGTGACGTATCATAAAGAAAACCACAAATTCAGTGCAGAAGAATTGCATTTTTTTCTTAAATAATTTAGTCTGAAATCTTGAGTGGAATTCTACCTGTGTTTCATGTACCAGAAGATGGTGGCACAACCAAAGCCAGTGGCCACGCTCAGGTGGGAATCTGGTTTGGGTAAGGAAGACAGGAAGTCAGCACTGCAGCGCCCATCCTGCCAGGTGATCAGCTGACTGACGTCTTTAGGAATGAATCTAATGATTTCATCTTCACTCAGCCATTCACAGCCTAACAGAGATGGATGAGAGTATAATTATTGATACCATCCTAATAATTTATTCATGATTAAAGATGAGTGCCTTCACCACAGTGCCACACCACAATGCAAGAAGCATCAAACATGCTTTCAGTAGTTGTTCAATGTTAACCTGATTTAGATTTCCACAACACAATGCCATGCATTTGTCCACATACTCCAATGCACTTGACTTTTTTCAGCTTGTCTTTAGGTAAAGCATCCATGCATTGGTCCAGAGCGGCGATTATTAGTGCAGGATCCTGCTCTTTTGCCTATTATCAACAATAAATTAAAAGTGTGTTTCAAAAAACACATTAAACAACACTCACAAAAAGTGCCACACATATACTGGGTAGATTACTTACAAAGCCCGTGATTACATTATGAAAATTGTAATTAGTAACGTAATTTATTACATTACACATTTAGATCATATAATCTGATTACTTTTTAGATTACTTTTAACCTAACTCGTTTAACACATGGATTTAAATAGGATAATCTTGTTCCATATTGATATAAACATTCAAAGAGAAAGAAAATGTATCAACATTAGGGTTTCCCAAACATGTTCGTGAAGGAACTGCAGGGGGTTGTAAGTTGTTAATAGTTAATTATTAATTAGAAAATGTAAATATAACTTTAAAAAAAGAGAGAATGAGACAAAGAGAGGCAATTTCTCAGTATGGTGTATCTTTTGACTGCCACCGCTTTAATCTCAGTGCTGTTACCTACATGTGTGTCTGAGGTGCTGCTGATATCAGAGTTTGTAGAGAAACTGCTACTGTCTGTGACTGTCTTTGACTGCGCGTCCAGCAGCACGACTTTGACTGATGTGGTTCCCAGATCCATGCCCAGAACAAAGCCAGCAGAACAACTGAGTGAAGCCGCCATGATCTCTGAAGAAATCACTACTTTTGTGCAGTCGGAGGCAAAGATGCGCAGTATATGTCATATAACTGCACCGAAAATAAACTGCTCTAAATAATACCGAGTTTCTAGGAGTGAGAGCAAGCGCAAATCCTGGCATCGGCAGGTCGCAGCGCCACTTCCGCTGGCATCCCCAGCTGCCACTGGCAGCTACCAGAGTTCGAGGCAGCTGCCACGGTCTTTCTCGCCGTTTCTGCTGTTTGCTCGGTAAAACTACACTGTTCTCAGTGGCGTGCGGTGATGTTTTATTTTAAATGATGATGCAAAGTTCCCACAGTTTTATTATTATTATTATACAGTACATTTTTATGTATCAGTTGCCAGAGTTCTTGCCAGGAGTCAAAGGCAGCTGCCACGGTCTTTCTCGCCGTTTCTGCTGTTTGCTTGGTAAAACTACACTGTGCATACTATATACAGGAGCGTAGCCATCATTTCAGAAGTGAGGGGGACAGAAATGTTTTATATATACACACACACACACACACACGCATATATATATATTCATACCCCTTCATATATACTGTATATAGGAAACTTTATTTTGTCTCTTATTTCTTTTTTTTAATTGGCTAATAAATCAGATACACTGTTGGACAATAACCAATAAATGATTTGTTAATGTACTACAAATGCACTACTTTTTTTTTTAATTTTTATCACATAATAAGGCAGAATACTTTCTGTACTTTAATAAATGCTATGTCAAGTAGCACTGAATTGTTCGTAAACTTTATTTATTACCTGGAGATGATTTTAAAAAGCATATATATATATATATATATATATAACCTTACTATTGTCATCTCCCTGCATTAAATAAACATTACATTTAAAAGGCAAAATACTATTATATTTTGTATTTTTACACTATGTAATATTCTGTTTCTCAAAACCAATAAATCTCATCAAGTTAGTGTTTTTCCATATTTTCATATTTATTCCAAAATAATAACAAAAGACAGTAATAAT